AATGGTTTTCATTTTTAATTTAAAAAAATTTCCCCAAAAAAAAAAAAAAAAAAAGTAAAAAAATTTTTTTTTTTTTTTTTTTTTTTTTTTTTTTTACAAAAGATCAATTTCAAGGATAATAATTGTTTGTTTGTATCTAGGTTTTTGTTGTGTTCTGTGTTTTTCTGTGTAGTTATTTTGAGATTTTCTGTGGTAGGTCCTGTTTCCCTGTGAGTCTCTGTCCTGTCCTCCATGTTGATTGATTCCAGCTGTGTCTAGTTTACTGATTACCCACCCCTGTGTATTTAAGTCCAACTGTTGTCTGTCTCTTGTTGGATCCTCGTTGGATCCTGTGTCGTTTGTCTAAGTCTTCTTACCAGCCTGTGTCAGTTAGCCATTCAGTAGAACTGTGAAGTCCTGAGTTGGTTGAACTATAAAGAGTCGTCATAGTAGAACTGTTCAGTGCTATGTCGGCGTCAGCTCTCTAAGGAGTCGTTTCCTGTTCAGTTGCTACCAGGGTTAGTGTATCTCCGCTCACCGTGCTGCTGTTCTGCTTACTGGACTGTCGAGCTGTACATTTATCATTAAATCATCATTTTCATTACAACCTGGGTTCTACCTGCGTTCTCTCCTCACCACCTCAATCCCACCTCATGACAGTTTTGAGTAAATTGTAATAATTGATCATTTATTTGTGAGAAATAAAAAAAACATAACTGGACAAATATTGATTGAAATGATTAGTATTTGAGTTAATAATCAGATAAAATGTTTTTGAAGATTTTTTTTTTGTTTCTGGCACTATTTCATGATTAAACACTTGAGGGTCAAATTGACCCAGGATCATTATTGTCTTACCTGAGAAACGAACATAACAGGAGGGTTAAGTTATTATAAGGGGGAATGTTTAGTTATTAGTGAAATAATCTGTCAATGGAAGAAGAATTTTTTCCAAGTTTCTTTAAAAAAATGAGATGTTACAGTTCCTCTGTGTGCAGATGACAGTGCCGATCAGTGTCAGTCCTGTGATTGGACAGATCAGTGTCTGTCCTGTGATTGGACAGATCAGTGTCTGTCCTGTGATTGGACAGATCGGTGTCTGTCCTGTGATTGGTGGCTTTCTTTCCAGCAGGAAGTTGTGAACAGAGTTTAAAAGCTGCTCCAGGACTGCAGACATTCACAGGAAGCTGGACCAGCAATGGCTCTGCTGAAGGTTCTGCTGCTGCTGCTGGTGCTGCTGGTGCTGGGTGAGTCGGAGACACTGGGGACACTGGAGACACGTCCACTGGTTCCAGGGAGGCTGCTGCTCTCTGTGACTCTCAAACTTCCCTCTGATTCTGTTTCAGACTGAAACTTCTTTGCATATAAACTGTGATGCTTTTCAATCTTTAACTGTTTATCCTCTTTCTGTTCCTGCAGCCATGTTTGCACCTGGTTTCTGAGTAAAGTCCTCCTTTCTCTTCTTCAGGTGTTTCAGTGAACTCAGGTGTTTCTCGGCAGAAGAGAATCATTGGAGGTCGAAACTGTCATGACACAGAGCGTCTGTATCATGTTCGGCTGGAGAGCACCAATGTTACTCATAGGATGCGCTGTGGAGGATCTCTGATCCACCCTGAGTGGATCCTGACTGCAACTCACTGCTGGCAGCCAGGATGGTAGGAAAGAGACATGAAGACAGTTTTATCTACGGATTATCAGGTTTTCTGTCTGTTCATTATAATTTAACTTTTTCTTCAGGACTATTAAGGCAGTGTTAAAAGTTCATCCACGGACTGCTGTGCAGCTAAGACCAGCAATCCGACTACCTCCTGAGACTTATAGGCTCTTTGGCAAGCTGCATGACATCATGATGCTGAAGCTTGAGACACCAGTAACAGATGTTCCAGTTGCTCCACTACCAGACTGCAACAATCGTCTTAAAGTGTAAGTCTTTCTCTGATTATAACATGACTTCAGGTTTTCTGTCTCCACTCCTCCAGTCCTGCTGCCTCTGCTTCAGCACACCTGAGTCAGGTAATCAGGCCACCAGCAGAACCAGAACCTGTTTAGCTCAGGTGTGTTGGACCAGAGACACATGTAAAGGATACAGGACACCATCACTGAGGACTGGAGGTGGACACTCCTGTGTCAGTGGATGAAGTCCTTCATGGATTCATTTTATGTTCTTTCATTGTTAATTAATTTTCTACATTGTTATATTTTTGTATTTTATTCTTATTGTGTTTTAGAGGCGATGTTGTTCAGCTGGCAGGAGAGGGAGGAACGACAACCGGCCCCAATAATATGCGATGTGAGAGAAATATTGAAGTTATGAGAATAAAATCTTTGTTTCTGTTTCTACAGAGAAGGTCAAGTGAAGAACATGTTTATGATTCTCATGTTTCTCTACAGTGCCCCTCACTGATGCTATTCCATCCGAACTTCAGTGTGTCAACATGAAAGTTAATCAGGTTTTGGACGTCATGAAGTACCGTGGGCATTTATTTTCTGCTCAAGCACCAAACAAAGATATATGCTTAGTAAATTTGTTTCTTCAATTTCTCTCCACTGTCATTACTTTCCTGTTTTACAACATACATATATTGATATACATTTTTTTACAGGGTGACGATGGTGGAGCAGCGATGCACAACGGCATGATATATGGAGTGATTGTTATTGGTGGAGAACCTGTATGTATGAAGGACCCAGTTACAATCATGGATGTGTGTGAATACCAGGGGTGGATAAAACATAGACTATCATGAAATAAAATTCTCATCAAATTTCCTCTCGCATATAATTGTATCTTCATCAGTTTGATCCACATGTTTGTAGAATTAGAATAAATTGTTTTGTTTTCCTTCTCACCTGATCTTCACCTCCCTAATGGAGTTTTCTCTTCACCTCAGAAATGAAAAATAAATTAATAAATGCATGAAAAAGGAACATTTCCTGGCTGATTGTCTTTACATTCATGGTTCAGTTTGTTCAGTTGATATTTTCCCTGAACTGACTCTAAAAACATGTGTTACGGCCCCTGGCCTCTTGAGGCTGTGCAGGCTCCCTTCTTGTTATGCAGGTTCAGCTGTGAGGGCACATCTCCCTGATTGGCTGCAGGAAAAGCAGCTACACCATTGGATCAGCAGAGGATTGTCAAGCCAATCAGACGTTCATGAGGCCCACCTGCACCCTATAAAAGGCTCCTGAATCCATTCCTCCAGTGAGGCAGCTATTTTGAAGAGGTTTTGTGAAGCTGCCTCCTCTTGAAGCTGCAACTGCTTTAGGCAGGTTTTAAGCTAGTTTGGTCTTTGTGTGTTCCTGCTTGTCCAGTTCAGCAATTTTGACTTTGCTCTAGTTGACTACAAGTTAGAAGCTTGTGTTTAGGAGGCTTGGTGCTCCCCTTAGCATTCCCTTTGTGTGTTCCCCGTTTTCCCCTTTTGGTTTATTTTGAGTTTACTTTGAACTGACTTGTTTGGACATTTTGTAACTTTAATTTGCACCTGACATTCTTGAGTTTGTTAATCCCTTTTGTTTTGCATTAATTGGGTTAAATTGTACTGTTTTGTGAAACTTTCTTTTGTAATAAATCATTTTTACTTTACACTTTGGCTCTGGACACATTTTATGTTACCGCCCCTGGACCCTTAACAACATGACATGAGTTTTAAATCACATGAAGAGGAACACCAGAAGTAATTTATTAAGTTTGTGTCTTTATTTCAACCTGTAGAGACTCACACAGAGAGAGAAGCAGC